TGAAGGTCAGTGAGACAATGGATGATGTGTTTGTGAGCATAACATGTAGAAAAAAGAGTGGAGACATAGCAGTTAGGACTTATAGATTGATTAGGATAGGACAGGACAGGTTCGGCGTGAGGAGCTCTGCTGCCAGGACTCTGTAGGCCAGACAGATTGGCAGGAACAGTCCATGAGACAAGCCCGCCTCTTCTGTTCTAAAGGGAGTTCCCGCTTTTGCCACAAGCACTCTTCCTGTCCTCTTGTGATCGTATGTTAAGTGAGGGAACACTTCATATGCAGAGTGCTCAGGTGCCAGAGAGGAAAGTCGTCCCCGCCCTCTTGAAGAGTTTGTTGTCTGAAGACAACATATATATATATATATATAGTCTCAGAGGTACTGCAGAGACTCTGATCACCACCAGCTGTCAGAATTGATTCCTGGGGCCCTGCTGCTTCTGGAGCCATGGAGGGATTCTTCTCCAACAGAAAGCAGACATGAGGAGACTAATACCCAGTCTAGGCAGCAGTAAGTGGCTTAAGAGTTGAATTTGCTTCTCAGCCTTCTTAGGAGGGCTGTTTGCTCAGACAGTCAAGCCTGTCTTCATTATAAGAGGCAAGTCTAGAACTGGACCCTGAAGATAGACTAGGGAGCTGGAGAACGGCACCTCACACTGACCCAGGAACCATAAGAAGACCCAGAGAATATCGTCTCAGACAGCAGACAACAGCAGCATATAAAGTCACTGTTCCTCTGCCTGCCTGTGTGCTAGAGTGGGTTTTGCATTTATTACCCCTAATCCCTTAAACCTCTCTTCAAGGTAGGCACAGCCCCCACTTTACAAGTGAATAAAAAAAACAAAAATTGTTGGGGAGGATCTTCCTGCAACTACAGAGAATCAGAAGTCAGACTGTTGAACTATTTCCAAGTGTAAGCTTGAAAGAATTTAAGAAATACAGATATTTCCACATAAAACAAGCCAAGATGGACTTCTGCTGGCTTGTCTGTGTAACAGGGGTGCCTTTCCACACTGGTGGAAACTCTCCAGAGCTTGTCTACTTGGCCACTCCGAACCTTCTTCCCACCTTCTCCATCCCATCTCTACCGACACCTAAAATGATCTCCCTACCCCAAACCTGACTTTTTTTCTAGCAGAAGGCCCGAGACATGTACGCTGAGGAGCGGAAGAGACGCCAGCTGGAGAAGGACCAGGCTGCAGTGACTGAGCAGCTGCTTCGAGAGGGGCTCCAGGCCAGTGGCGATGCCCAACTCCGACGGACGCGCTTGCACAAACTCTCCGCCAAACGGGAAGAGCGAGTCCAAGGCTTCCTGAAGGCCTTGGAACTGAAACGGGCTGACTGGCTGGCACTGCTGGGCACTGCATCTGCCTAAATGAGGCCACTTTGCCCTGCCCCGTGCCTCTTGGGCCCCAACTTCCTTTTCTTTTCTTTGTGAAAGGCACCTTTCTGTTTTTGATGAATTGTGCTCCCTTTGCTATTCAGGGAGCCCCAAAGGCAAGGCCTGCTACCTGTAGACAGACACCTTTGGGTTATCTGTGACAGTGACCCCCCCCCACTAGAGTTCGAGGGAGGGTCTCCCAGGTTTACACTAAGTCCAAGACCAGTCACTGATAATCTGGAGACCAGGGGCCCCTAACTCATCACCTGTTTTTCCTGTCCCCGTCTTTGGATGCATGTTCTTTTTCCACTAGCATATCCTTCAACATGCAGAAGAGGTCTTCCCAAAACCCAGGCCTTTCCGTATCCTGCCTAAGCCCCCCATGTGACTTTTACAAAAGATTTGAATCTACTGGTAAATAACTGATAGGCAGCCCGCAGCACTGGGCAGGAAAGAAAGGGGTGGGAAGGACGGGAAGGAAATTTGCCCATCTGCTGCCCCTCCCCTTGCCCCTCCACCTGGGATTTGCTATTGAATCTCCATCCCTCCCACCACCAGGACTGACTGCTCACTGAAAGGCTCAGCGCCCCCAATGGCTCATGGAAGCCAGGCGGGTGATTACAATCCAATTACCTATTGTTGACTCAGCCCACACAAGCTTTACTCCCCCTTGCAGGGCATGGGGCCAGGCTCCACTCCCCAGTGAGACCCAACCCCCTCCACGGCTACAGGGTAGCAGAAGGGCCTGTAGAGGTCCTAAAGTCTAATCCAACACAGGCCAACTCGTAACACATCAGGACTGAGCAGAACCTAGCATTTCCTGATTGACTGTCTCCTTCCCTTGAAGGCTCCTCCTCACAGCTCTGACCTGACTCCCCAAGTGGGTCCTGAGACAATTGACTCTCATCATGGTGGCGCTCACTGCAGGCCCTCAGCCTGTGAGGGCCCACGCTGACTTAAGGGAAGAGGCAAGATCCCCTGCCACCCCTGGGTTTGAGGAGAGGCTACTGCCTTTGAAGGAAGGTCTGCAGAGCTAGCCTGCCGCAGATGCCTCCAGAGCAGTCAATACTAGCCAGGCACTCTGACCAAATGCCACTCTGGGTCTCCCGTTCTGTCTGCAAACCTTCTCCCCAGCACGTTCATGTACTCTGAGATTTCTAACTTTCTTTGCCTTGCTCCCCACACACACCCCGCTTTGTGCCTAGACACCTGTCATTGGTGACCTTGTGGCCCTCATTCTTCCTCTCAGAGTCAAGTGTAAAAGCCTGACACTGCACCCCAAAGCCAATCAGTGCACCCTCTGGCAGGGCCCCCTGTACACCTGGCACTCCCCAAAACCAGTCCCTGGCACAGAGTTCCCCAAGAGCAGGTGCTGTACATTTTCCAGCTTTACAATGAGGCTGTTGACAGCTTTAATTAGGGAGGCATGAATTATGTGGCTATAATGCAGAGCCCTACAATTAAGGCGGGAATGAGAGGCTGGAGGCAGCGAACGGAATCTGCCCAGCAAGCATGGCTGTTGAGTCCTGGCTGACTTTCTCTTGCGATTGGAGTACAGTTCAGGTGATTAATGGGGAAGGTATCTTCCAGCCTGGGGACCTGTATTCTGGGAAAGGTGCAGGGGGGGGGGGGGGGGGCTGCCTCGGGAGGCACTGTGGGAGTGGAGAGAAGAGGCAGATCCATTGCTGCCCAGAAGCAAAGGCTGCAGAAGGCTTGATTTGGAGGTTTGCTGTCTGCTGGTACGGTTCGTGCAAACTAGCTTCAACCCTTGCCTCAAAAAATGAGGTGGGACCTGTTTGTGTGTTTTGCACTCACGCGCCCAACACCCTGTTGCAGATGTTTAGCCGGTTGTGATCTCGGTGTCAAATAGATTTTTTGTTTTAATTCTTAGATGTAAGATTTGTTTAGTAACTAACGAGAGAACGCCTTGCTTTGCTTCTGCGATTAGCAGCCTCCCTCGGGTGCGCTTGGCTAGCTCCAGACCGCTGGGCTTTGGGCTGGGGTGCACTGGAGGGGCCCCTTGGCCATCACACCTGTTCGTCTACTTGTTTCCTAATCTTCCGGCGCTTTCCTTCAACGGCTTTTTCCTCCCGCAAGCGAAAGCAAGCCGGCATGATAGTGTACTGGGAGGGATTTCGCCAGCTGTGGCATCTGCAAAGCCCAGGTTTGGTGGCCTCTGTCGAGTGGGGGCAGCTGGGCTAGCTTTATCCGAGACCCGGAGGGCTTAGGGGGAGGGGAGTGCTCGCAGACCGTGTTGGCGGCTTTTCTCCACCATTCTGTGACGGGTCCAGGGGGCCGGACGTGCAGGGACTTAAGGAAGCCACCCATCCGATGTTGGGGGGCTCTTCAGCGTTTGGGGAGGCGATCGAGCAGTAGGTGCTGAAAGGACAGCTCCTACCTGCCCCGCCGAACCCCGAAGGCTCCCCTGTGTGGAGTCTCCACTCCAAGCCCATGCCCCCACCTCCCGGGGACGGCTCTCCAGGTGAGGCGCACGGAGGGACTCCCCAAGGTGGCAGGCGGCTCGGAAGGGTGCACGTCCGACTGCGCCACGCCGGCCGCCTCGCTCTCATCCCACCGGAGCCCGTGGCCCCCGGAGCTGCCGCCCGCGCCTCCCGCCGCCGGTGGAGCTGGGCGGCGCGGGCAGGCCTCGCAAACCCTCTGCGGGGCCCCAGCGGGAGCAGGAAGGGAAGCGGCCGAGATGTGCCCGGTGTCGCACGGCTGGAGAAGTGGGCAGCAGGGTTGCATAAGGTGGAAGGAACTTGGGAGTTTGCAAAAGCCAGCTCGGGCGGGAGCGGAACCCCGAGCCCGCCGCCTCGCCCGCCCCGCATCCAGTGCCTCCGCCGCGCGCGCCTTCCTTCGCCGCGCCCCCTCCCCCAAGGCGCGCCGCCGCCTCGCTCGCCCTCCCCCTACACCCCCTCCTCACTCCAGAGGAGGTGAGTTTAAACCCCGCCCACGTGACCCCAACTGGGCCAATGAGCGGCGGCGGGAGGTGAAATCCGGTTCTAACCGGTCCGGGGCTCCCAGCGCTATAAAAACTTTATAAACCCCCCGAAGCCCGAGCAGTGTGAAGAAGCAGCGAGAACGACCCCCGGACGGACCGACCCCGCGCACCGCCGCATCCCCGCGTTCAGCGCCGACGTCCCCCGCCGCCGCCATGCCCAAAAGAAAG